AACAACACACACACACACTATATATATATACTACACACACACACACACACACACACTCATATATATATATATACATATATATATATATATGTGAGTGTGTTTGCACGTATGAATACTTTTTTCACTCATATAGATTGTGACATAATTGTAAGCATACACCAAGACTACACACATATAAAATGAGGCTACGATAGAAGCACATGTAAAAACTGTCTGATTTTATGCCCACTCATAATTAGCAGGTATGCAAGTCAATACTCACCCATCTATTCACAGGCATATTCAGTACTACTCAAATTTTCACATACGAGCCATACCCGCACAAACTAAAGCGCATCACTTTACATGCATGTGCGACCATGCGCAAACTTACGCACTCGAGTGCATTCACAAGCATCTGAGTTCTCTTACCCGTCCGTCTTTAAAGCAAGCTCGCGATAGTCCTTGAGGGTGAGTGTGTTTGGTGTGTCTCCCACAATCCTCTCTATCATTATAGCCCGGGCGTGCAAGTCCGGTAGTGGGATGTATATCCTTTTCTCGAACCTGCGTCAGCAATATTGATTGGCTGGTATAATTAGAATATCTCGGGTGCAACTGAACCCAACCGGAGAGATAGTGGGCGCCCAGGCAACTAGCGGATCAAAACCCTGGCAACCCTAAACCTTATGGCACATATACGTAAAGGAATACGCGCACACTATGATTTCACAGTATCGGCAAAAGGTCGTAATAGGCCTCTAAAAACTAACCGGGGTCCCATTCTCAAATGCATCGATTCCAAAACGGTTTTTCTTCCAAAAGCGTTAAACAGGCGGCATAAACCGGTACATACTTCCGTACATGTTGCAGAGCGTATACAATCTTATCGATAGCCAATCGCGCATACATACATTAAACACATATATCACATGCATACAAAACACGCATACATCACATGCATACATTACATGCATCCATTACATGCATACATTACATGCATACATTACATGCATACATTACATGCATACATTACATGCATACATTACATGCATACATTACTTGCATACAGTACATGCATACATTACATGCATACATTACATGCATACATTACATGCATACATTATATGCAAACATTACATGCATACATTACATGCAAACATTACATGCATACATTACATGCATACATTACATGCATACATTACATGCAAATATTGCATGCACACAAAACACGCATATATTACAGGCATATATTAAATACATACAGTACATGCATATATAACAAACATACAATACATGGATACATTACTTGTGTATATTACATGCATACATTACATGCATATATTACATGCACATATCACATACATACAGTACATGCATATATTGCATGCATACATCACATGAATATATTACATACATATATTACATGCATAGACATATATTACATGCATATATTCCATACATACATTATATGCATATACTATATACACAGATCAGAGTGTGCAATTAGCACGGCAATTGCCACACTCAACGCATGAAGATGTGACACACGGCCAAACATTTTGCTTGAACTCATGGCATCTACGGTACGGTACGTATGTATAACTCATAACGCACACAAGCAGACAAGTGGTATGACATTCGCATATAATACAACGCACCTTGACATGCGAGTGTGTGCTTATACTACACACACACACATATATATATATATATATAAATGCATACATACATACATACATACATACATACATACATACATACATACATACATACATACACACACATACATTCACTCACCGCCTCCTGATGGCTGGGTCGAGTGACCAGGGTATGTTCGTGGCTCCAAGTACGAGAACGCCATCGTTGTCATTGCCCACTCCTACATCACAGGTGTTTTAGGGTTTAATATACAACACACGTGTTTTAGGGTTTAAGATTACAAAACACGTGTTATAGGGGTTACGATTACAACACTCGAGTTGTAACGAATAAGATTGTTGAGTGATCATAGTAAGCGAACGGACGTCGGGGCACAAACATGCACCAATAGACACGAGCACGTACATGGTGTTCAAAGATCTATAAGCAGATCTATTTTCGCATCGCGTACACATGCTTTGAATATAAATGATACGAACGGCTTGTGCATATACGGTTGCTTGTTGGATATATACAACCTATGTCTAAGGAACTTGGATATCATGTAATGACATTTCCACCGAGTGTATTCTCACAAGATGCGGCAAAGACCTCCATATAAACATGTCAACGCCGATTTTCCCTTTTAAAAGTGAG